TTTTTATAATTTTATAATATTGTTATATAAATAAAAACATCATTTTCTCTCTCTCTCTCTCTCTTTAATTTTATATAAGTAATTATATATAATTGTATAAATTTTTAATAAGCGTAGACATATCTAAAGCAAAATAATATCGAGTATCTAATCGGTTTCCAGCTCCAACTTAAGTAAAGCCTTCGCAAGATTAAATTAGTCGTGCAAACTTCAAAGAGAAGCTTGAGTCATTTAATAATTGTCACGATCATCGCATTGAGGATCACTTAGCCTTCTTCGGATGTGAAAAACGTGTTAATCGCTTTAAGTGAACCTAAATACCCGGATCGGGGCTAAGTTTTCTATCGAGGCGACTGTAAAGGCTATCCTCCTTTGTGTTTCATTCTTGGTTGATCTCGCTTCGGCAATCTCAGTTACAAGACATTTCTCCGCACGACATGTTGGGTTTGAAATATATATCTCTCCGCGCGAATAGAATGATTGCCCCAATTGAGAAGATAAGATACAAGGTGTGCAGGAACTATGCGTACGTTCCAGTTTATACTCGCTCGAATCGATCTTCTCACGTCTCGTCCCGTGAGAAAGGCGGATATCCATTCTGAATTCGCGCCACGGAACGAGAGGAATCTCTTTTCCTTTCCGCGACTCACGCTCCTTCCATCTCTATACAACGTGCGATTCTTTTCGCACGTCGGAATCGCGAAAGTACCTTGATATCGTGGTACGCGCCATCGCGGTTTCTCTACAAAAATGTAACGCGCGATAAACGATAAAGTTTTATCAAAATATCAGACTAAATATTTTCTGTCCAAAATTATAATATAATTTATAGTATAATATATTTTTATTAATTATTTTAATTTAATATAATATCTCGTGATAAAACCTCCATATCTTTTGCATATATATATGAGAATATTATTACTCTATTTTTTCTCCATATTATATCAAATTTATTTTTCAGATATTACAACGAAATAATAGTACACTAAATAATCTTTTAAAAAATTATAGATACATAAACGCTTGTAATTATAGGAATATATATATATATATTTGTTTCTCAAAAAATTTCACGCGACCGTTCTGGAGGAACGCCAAGCTCCATTCCAGGACCATATACGATCCGACCTTAATTTTTCCTCGTACATTTTCCTTCGCCTACCTTCTGGTTACATTCCGCGACGCGCCTCGTTAGACTTGACACGTATTACTTTGCATTCCTGTAAGCGTCAAGCAAGAAAGCAAAATGCGATTCGCCGGAGCGGATAAACCGGCCCCATCGTGAGATTTCCAAATTGGAACACTCTGCTTTTCCGATTTGTTGCCGAAACATTTTCGGAAAGTGGAAGATTTATCTGTCTTGTAGGAACGAAAGGGAGCGTCCGAATACCTAAGGATATATTACATGTAATCGCACCTCAAGTATCATTAAATTCAGAATCTATTCTAATTATTTGCCTAATAATTTATCTAATTTTAAGACATAGAAATTGATCGTTACTAACTTTTGAGAATTATAGTAATGATAATAATTAGGCACGTTAACAAATTACAATTATTTAATATATTTGAATTTTTATATTGTATTAATTAATATATAGGTGTGTCGAAATTTTTCCACACTTTTTTAAGGAAAGAATTTATGTGGAATCGTTCGAGAGGATAATGTTATACTTTTGTCACTTTTAAGGCCCAATTTACGTGGAAACCTCTTCATGTTTAATCATTTAAAAATTAATCCATATAATTTGACGTTTCCGTTGAAAAGAAATCACTCAATCGATGAAAATCGCGGCGACTATTTTGAAATACACCTGGTATTTACGCAGCTTTCCGCTTTTCGATACGATAACGAGGCAAAACGACGTCGTTGAGATCCAGGATGAGCATCTATCACAAACGCGAACGGCCTACTCAATACGGATACGTTTCGCGCCGAAGCATTCGTGATAAGTCGATATTCATGGAAGCACGACATGTCAAGGTCTAATGTCAAGCGGTCTCGAGGAGGATAATATATCATTCTTAATTTTCCATGTACATTATACGGATATCGAGCCATCGTTACGGAAACGTTTCGTCAATAGAGAGTCATTGAGTTGTGCTTCGCAAACCTTGACATTTAAAATACAGATAAGGGCACGCGGTAACGAACGGGAGGAAACGCGCGACGTGCGACTGCGAAACTGCGATTGTGATTTAGGAGTTGTCGCAATCTCGACTACAAACTGCGCCGAAAAGTTACGAAACTTTGGAACGCGAAATAGAGAAGACATTTTGTGCAACTGCGCCGAGCGGATGTAATAAAGATACAAATTGTGTGTTGTGCGAGGTGTGATGCAGAAAGGCTCGGCGCGTGTAAATGTCGTTGAAAAAGCGACGACGGAAGTGAAGGTAGAAATCGATCAGCGGAGCCAGTCAAGTGTATGTAAATTCTTATATTAGTTCAGTTTAACTGCCACGTAATTACGAAGCTACAATAATGAAATTTTTTTATTGACTAAATTCTTTACAAACTGTTTTCCTTATTTTAGAACTTTCGCATAAATCGTATCAAGAATTTAAAAAATGTGAAAAATGTTTTCCGCTTATTTTATATACAATAATTAATTATTTGAGACTGGCTTGCATTTTCTTGTAACTGTTTTTTTAAAGAAATTTACGGAGAACACTGTAAATACTTCAAAAGAGCATTCTTATTAATTCTCAAGTTTTAAAAGTATTTCAGAATTTTTAGTGCTTCAAAAAATCTTTACAAATATTTTTGGAACACCAGAAATTTTAGAATGTCTTTTCCGAACATGGTTTTTAACAGTGATATTAAAAAAAAATTAAATATGTTTTTTGGATATAAAAAAATTGAGAGAGAGAGAGAGAGAGAAAGAGAGAGAAAAAGTAATTTAAATACCTCTTTTATAAAAAACGCAGAAAAAATTGTTATTATCTCTTCATTAAGATAAATATTTGTTGTTGCACATGCGAATTTATAATTACTAAGTTTAAGAAACTTTATATTAAATTTTATTGGTAAAATTATCAATGCAAATTTGCCGAAATAGAAAAACGATGGCGAACTAATTCGAGGGCTGTAGTTTCTCTATCGATCGCGTCTTGAGGCGTCGCACCTCCGGCCACGAAAATGCACGGTTCGTGACCGCGTTACGTCAGGAACGGGCTTTCAAATCCAACCACAATCCTTCCACGCGATGGCAAAAGAGATGGAATAAGAGAAACAGAGAGAGAGAGAGAGAGAGAGAGAGAGAGAGAGAGAGAGAGAGTGGAGCAGAATAGGCTTGGAATACATTTTCATATCTTAGAAGCTACGTCAAGAAAACTGAATAAACAAAAAAAAATTAAATATGTTTTTTGGATATAAAAAAATTGAGAGAGAGAGAGAGAGAGAGAGAGAGAGAGAGAGAGAGAGAAAAAGTAATTTAAAAACCTCTTTTATAAAAAACGCAGAAAAAAATTGTTATTATCTCTTCATTAAGATAAATATTTGTTGTTGCACATGCGAATTTATAATTACTAAGTTTAAGAAACTTTATATTAAATTTTATTGGTAAAATTATCAATGCAAATTTGCCGAAATAGAAAAACGATGGCGAACTAATTCGAGGGCTGTAGTTTCTCTATCGATCGCGTCTTGAGGCGTCGCACCTCCGGCCACGAAAATGCACGGTTCGTGACCGCGTTACGTCAGGAACGGGCTTTCAAATCCAACCACAATCCTTCCACGCGATGGCAAAAGAGATGGAATAAGAGAAACAGAGAGAGAGAGAGAGAGAGAGAGAGAGAGAGAGAGAGAGAGTGGAGCAGAATAGGCTTGGAATACATTTTCATATCTTAGAAGCTACGTCAAGAAAACTGAATAAACAAGAACAACTATAAATATATATTATCACTATATATTACAACAAATGTAAAAATGAAAAAGGACAAGAAGAGAAAGAAGAAATAAAATGGAATAGATTTGTATTAGAACGTATTTTTGTATCCTGGAGAATTTAGTATAAATATCTACAATAAATAATAAAAAAAAAATCTAACGTACAATTAAACAGCTATAGATGAACGGCGCGGAGTTTATGCGTGGGAAACAGGGACGTTAAACCGCGAGAACGGAACGTGGGGGCGATAACAAAAAAAGAGAAAGGTATGATAATTACCAAGGATTCGTCCCCATTGTCAGCGCTCATAGCCCTCCGCTGGCACTAGAGGACCCCGAACTCGCTCCTCGTCTTCGTCGTCTTCGTCGCCGGGTTGCTCGTCGCTCCTCTTCGCGGCTTCGCTTCCGGCAACAGCAACACGAGCTCGTCATTCTGCGTCGAACTCTATCTCCCGAACGGGAAGGTTGTTCCCGAGGGATTCCGCCTTTGACAGCCGCTCCCAGTTTAATCTGTCATCCGGCATCGCGCCACGACCCGGATGATGTTGAAGAATAACTTCTTTTTCTTCTTCTTTTTACCGATTTTTTAAAGAGTATCGGGCAAATCAAGAACTATTATAAAAATTATTATTGACTTTGAAATTTTTTCGGAGCAAAAACAATGAAGAGGAAAAAAGGCAGAGATATTGAAAAAAATAGAGAAATAAATAGAAAAAAGGGATGATTTATGAAAATATTAATTGATTGGAGTAATTGTGGTAATAATATTAGCTATAATAACGTAATACATATTATACGTATTATAAGTAAGAAAAAAATGTAGGAGATGATGGTTGAATAACAACTATGGAGTAATTTTTTATGATATTTGGATTATGATTATGTTAGAAAGGAGAACGTGTATTGTGCAATTGGATAAAGATTACGGGGATCTAGGGATATAGGATCATAGTGGCCGAATAGGGATATCCTATGTCAGGTAAGAAAGGATAACTAGGGCTATAGTATCGATTATATGATTTCGTTGGCTTTTAGGAATATAGTTTACACCGCATTCCGAAATATATCTTCGTGTACTTCAGTCTTTCTCTTCAGAGAATGCTTTCTTCAAGAGCGAAATAAAAATCCACGAAAGCTTGGAGCTTGAGAACGAGATGGGGAATAGCGTTGCGGGAGAGACGAGGAGAGGACACTGACACATGAAACGTCAACGACACCTTCGGGCACGTCGTCGCTCTTCTTTCCCTCTCTCTCTCTTTTCTTCTCTCCTTGACATAACGAATTTTCCCTCGGAACTTCACTCACTTCACAACACCAAGTAATCCTCGAGGTCCGTATTTCACTCCAATACGTTTGTTGAACGATCGCTGTATCGAGGCAGATCACAAACGCAAGCGAGGACGAACAGGCGGCGACTTCTCTCTCTCTCTTTCTCTCTCTCTCTCTCTCTCTCTCTTCCTCTTGAGCGAGTGCCGTTCTCCGAGAACGATCGGAACGGTACGGTACGGTACGGGGGATCGGAGATCGGGGGGAAAAGGGGGCTCCTCGGATTCCCCTCGTTTCAGTTTGCAAAAGGAAAAACCAAGGGGGGACTAGGGCACGCGAGTCGCGACGCGCCAGGAAAATCGCCAGCCGAGAGAAGTCGAGGTTCCCTCGCGAGTCGGATCTCGCTGTGCGACTGTATGGTTAACCGTCGTCACGCCGGAGATGTACCGGAGGTGTGTGACGAACTTTTTCCCACCAGACGAGACACACGGGGTGGGGGGAGGGCAGAGGAGGTAAGTTACGACGGTACCGCCATTTGTTGTAACGGCGGTGGTCCCCTCGTTTTACCGAGGAGAGTGTTTTCAGCGCTGGATCGATGCACCTCATGGCCCAACACTTATGGATTAAAATGACGCCTGGATTTGAAAAAAAAAAATTTTTTTT